TCCGGCGTCGGAACACAAACGACCAAGCCGAGTTTCCCTCGTAGAAATACAGAAGAGGAATTTCTTTAATGTCGTATGAGAAATGGAGTTTCTTTCGGAGAGGGTTTGCTTACGAGATGTTTGTTCGTGTCGCGGCAATTCGCATGAACGAGCTGGCGAATATTTCGTGAATGCTGTAAATAGAAGGCTTGCCGTACGATTTGTAGCGAAACGCGACAGCCGTGATTCGTCTAACAATTCTATTTCCTTGGCGCCAGACCGGAGACATTAACGCATTTCCCTCGCTAAGGGAATAGAATTCCTGTTGCACTCGTGACGTCTGTATGCGATAATCGCGCAACGATGTAACGCGAACAACCTATGAAACGCCTGATTTAATTACAACTCGCTCGTTATCGCTTGCTGTGATTTCTGTTAACGTTAATTCAATAGACTTGGCGCTAATATCCTCCTCTCGTTATCTCGGCCGACTACATGATCGTTATAGTTATTCGTACAAAATGTTCCGACGAACTGTGGTCCATTCGGCGACAGGCTGGTTTTGCACGAGAAAACGAATCGAAGATAATAGAATTTTGTCATGTGACACTTCATCTTCGAAAAGATGGAAAATTTGGAAAATTCAGGTATACTTAAAGTTAGCTAATTACAGACTAGGCTAATTACAGATGAGTAAACAATCAACAGGAGATTATTCCATATGTGAAAATAAGTCAAAAGCGTAAAGTACAATTTTTCCATTTCAAGCCTCGTTTCCGAGAATATAGTTCGAACGCGTTTACTTAAGAATTAAGAAGAAAGAAGAAACTAAAGCAACCAAGCAATTGCTGGGACATCCTAATAGTTACTTTGGATAAAAGCGTGCTTTCTTTCGAACGATTGTAATCTCGAAATTCTTTTGACTCTCGTGTTCCATATGGGAACTCCGCTAATATCTTCTTCTCATCATCTCGTTCCACTAAAGTGATCGTTACAGTTTGTAGTTACTTCCGACGACGACGACATGGTGTAATTTCTCTCCCTTTTTACGATTAATCTCGAAATTCTTTTAGTTCTTACATTTGACATAGAAACACGCCATTCTTATTTCGTTCCCTAACACGTTGACAGTCCAAATATTTAGCCCAGTTCCTATTCCTACGTTTATTCTTCGTTGTTTCTGTTTTCTTCATTGCGTGTGTTTTCTTCATTTCTTCATTTGTCACTATCATATATTATTCATAATTGACAATCAGCCGAGTAATTTATTTAACACGTTGAACACCTAAAAGCGTCATCAATCTGTCAGAATCTATACGTTCGTGTAGTCCATACGTCTATAAAGAAATCGAATTTTTAACGCAGATCAACACACGATCGTTGTTCCTTCACGCTAGAGGTTTCGTCTCGGCGCTGCGTGCAAGGTCAACCGAAAGTGCACAAGATACCGGCCCGGTGACCTAGAGTTTTCCGTTAAATTATTCAACGCGCTGACATGGCAGTTTTCACGCCGATAAGCAACATGTCGTGCGCTTAGATACGATGCACACGAGCAAGTCTTCTCGCGCGCGTTTCAATAATATACGTTGCGTTGTACGGGGAAATACGTACGCATCATAGTGATTCTTCAAGTATTCAGAGTACAATGAAAATTGACACACACGCGCGTTTAGGTACGTAATTCGTGTATTAGTCATGTTCTCTTCCGCGGTTATGTTCCTTTTAAAAAGAGAACACCCCACTGATCTCACTAAGGAAATAAAACAATGAAACTCGAAGATGGTATCCCGCTAGGGGTAGCCATCCTCATGTTAATTAGCAATTAAGTTAGAAAAATTTACCAAATGTCCAGCTGGACAAATTGTAAAGTACAAATTAAATAATAAAAATACACGTTCCTTAATTTAAGATATCGTTGCACGGGTGGTGAGCAAACTTCCTTCGCAATTATTATTTATTTAGAATAATCACGATCTGTCGTGATAGCTCGTTTGTATCGAGCGTTGCTCTTCATCTTAACATTTCTCGGACGATATTCGCGAATTCGTGCCGCTTTCTTGCCAAATTGTCGGCGTCGCGAAATTAAAATACTTTTTATCGTGACCGGACCGAGGACGTCGACGTCTCGACATTGATATCGACATCGACATCGACATCGACGTCGACGTCGACATTCGACATCGACATTCGACATCGACGTGGCCGTCCCACGAGATGCGTATTTCATTTTCGTACGGAAAGAGACTAGAGAAGGTCGACGGACGATGGAGAAGAGAAAATGAAAGGAAGTCCGAAGGGAGAGAAAACGACCGAACACGGGGTGATATTTCAAGCAAAGGTTGCCCCTCGACGACTATTAGTCGAATGATCGTCTCGCTTTGCGTAAAAACGCTTGCATTACCAATCGAACGACTCTTATTTCAGTTGAACGATGAGCAGAAATTACAACGTGCGACTCAATACGAAGATGAAAATAACTCGGCGATAATTCGATCTTTCGAAATGTACTTCAAATAGTTGCTGTTAATATATTTCCTCGTGTAACTTGCCTATTTATCGTCAAAACATTATGGTACATTAAAACGATCGAAGATAAAATCGGAACGCTTGAAAACACACGGACATCTGCAAGTCATTGGAGAACGCACGTGTCTTGCAGTAAATTCGTGTTTAAACAGACGATTTAATGTGGCGGAATATAATTGTCAAATGGCTGCAAGGTTTCTCAATTAATCGTAAAAATCAATAACACCACGTACTTACAACTTTATCTTGCTATTTACATTTTTATAAATTTCTCCTACATGGCGGACGAACAAAAGATGACAAACAGATAGCGTTGTTGTGACCAACGCGAAGAGGAGATCCGTACTTGTTCCGCGACATTTATTTCCATACTTGCATCGAACGCCCGAAGGAACGAGAGAAATCCCATTGCTTTCTTATTTCCAAGCGGTAGCTTGGAAATTATTCGCGGATCGCGGTGTCGTTTCTTTCTTGGTTTCAGGCGATAAGAGCAGCTTCCTATGGGCAAGTGGGCGGCATTTCTCGCTCTCGTTCTACTCAGGATATTTTTCGACGTTTTATTCGGATATGTGGTAGAATCGTTTTATCGAAAAGCCGATTCCTTGACTATCGGCTCGTTCTCTTTAACAAACCGTGGCAAATTGTCGCGGACGCACGCGGCGGGTGTGCCATTTCTTTGAAAAAATCGTCCCTTCGCCGTTATATTACGCGGCCACTTGCCAGAACTTCAAATCGAATCGAACGCCGGTATTACTTCCCATGACGTCATAAAAAGGATTTACGAGCTGAAACCATATAATGTTATTACCCGAAATGGTTATCCCTTTGGCCAAAGAGATTTCACCATATATATATATATATATATATATATATATATATATATATATATATATATATATATATATATATATATATATATATATATATATATATATATATATATATATATATATATATATATATATATATATATATATATATATATATATATATATATATATATATATATATATATATATATATATATATATATATATATATATATATATATATATATATATATATATATATATATATATATATATATATATATATATATATATATATATATATATATATATATATATATATATATATATATATATATATATATATATATATATATATATATATATATATATATATATATATATATATATATATATATATATATATATATATATATATATATATATATATATATATATATATATATATATATATATATATATATATATATATATATATATATATATATATATATATATATATATATATAAACGCCACCCCGGACTATTATCTCTGCTGTATTTTAAAAGAGACGTTAGTGCAACAAATTTTTGTCCTCACGTTTCTCCGATATTTTTCTCTTCGATGGAAAATATTAGGTTGAGCAATATAAGTCGCCTGCTTGAAGCTCTAAGTAATAAGTTGAAACTAATAAGTTGGTGTCTTCTTAAGAGTTCACATACAGTGTTATTCTCACTTTCGCTATTCTTTTTACTTTCACGTAATATCTTTCTGTGTAATTACACTGCAGATTTTTAAGCGAATTTCATACTTTCAGCAATATAAATAAAGAAATGAAACTTCGATACATACAAATTTATTTCGCCTATTAAATCCTATAACAAATATCTCACTTTGAGTATTTTTCATATTTTTGCATGTTTCGTACATTTCGCGCGTTATTGTTATACCTTTGTTGCTTGCCTGGCGGAATTGCAATTCCTCGTTTGGACTCTTTTTAATTTCTCTTAAACGCGTAAAGATCTGCAATCTATATACATACGTGTAATCAACTGTCAACTGATCTCTCTCGCTTCTTCATAAATTTGTATTTTTCATTAAAAAATTGAAAGGCGTGTATTTTTAAATTCTTTAAAAAGACGAACAAACTTATGATTCGATGCAAAATGTTTTAAAACTCTCTAAAGGATCCTCTCCTTAAAAAAAAAAAAGAAAAAATAGAAAAATGAAAAAGAATAAAAATTTCGAGCGGTCCTATATATCCAAATTCCAGTACTAAAAAGATCTTTTGTTACAGATCTGGTTTTTGCCGAGTGTTGAACAACAAGAACCAAAATGGCAGCCTTCGTGGCGAAGCAGATGGTCGGCAACAAGCTGAACGCAGTTAAAGGTGAGTTTTTATACATCGGAAAATTCGTTTTCTTCTACAATTACCTCGTTTTCTTCTGGCCTTCTAGAATTTCCTTGATATATAATTTTCTGGGGCAAGTAATTAACTACCAATCGCGTAGCTTCTATAACACGAAACTCCTCAATCATCACAACGCTTTTTACGGAATAAAAGAAACGGGGAAGCAGATCGGGGAATTGAGACGAGCAATTGCTACGTAAGACGACTGAATGCAATTACAATGGCCTGACTGACAGGCAATTTACTAATTCACGCGCGGAAATCGTTGATCTCCGTTTCACGCGACCAAGAAACCGAATTAACGAAGAACGCTTGATTCGGAAGCGATCGACCGCGAAACGAGAAGACATCTTGTTTCATTGAATCAAGCCTGGAAATATCTCGGGCAGAGGTCTTTTAAAATATAACGCGACTCGTGAAAGATAGATAACATTTTACTAATTGGTAATTATTATTAATTATTTACCATGCAAAGTATTTTATTTAAATACTTTAATAAACTATATGGGATGAGTAGGCAACACAAATTTGCACTCATGAATACATTCCAAACTAGAATGGATAATAAATGCATCAAAGTTGGCTAGTATCATTCTGGCAATTGTTAAATATTATCAATTATTTATGAAACAAACTGTTTTACGCAACACACATAATACCACGTAATTCGAAAACGTTCGTGAGGCTTTCATTAGAAATTCCTATTAAATATCGAGATATTTGAATAAATACCTACAGCTTTTGGGTGAACACCGAAGAGAAATAAAGGGAAACCGTGTCTCTATTTTTCAGCGAGGCAACGTCGTACGTACATGAAAGAAATTTTGAATCGTAGCTGGCATATGTTCTCCTCCATCTGTCTCATTCACCAAATATGCCGTAGTCTCGTATTATTTATCCTAATCACTGCAAAGCTTATGTCAAAGGCATGGAAGACAAGAAATGGAATAATTTCATTGAAGCAACGAAAAAAGACGAAATATTTTTCAAAAAAAAAAGACTCGTGAAATTATAAATGACAGAAAGTCTGATTCTACTTGAATCTTCCTTAAAATTCCCTTCGAATTTTCCGAACAACCTGACATATTTATAGAAGGTTGAAATACTTTCATAACCCACTTATAGGAAAAATTGGGAACGGAATTTGCAATTATGGGTACATTCCAAAGAGGGATGGATGATAAATGCGATAAAGATGAACACGTACGAGGGTTCTATCGTATGTTCCTTCTACTGATGATCATCGTACTCGTATTACCGATCGACAGACCGTTCCTTTTCCAAACGATATAAAACAGCAATAATAAGAGATGGTTGGCTTGGTTTCGCGATCGTGACGAATTAATGGTGCAAACGTGAGATCGGAAAGTGCCGTTTCATCGCTCGGCCACGCGAAAAGCACCGTTTCACCGCGTCTTAATATATTTCTTCGGTAAGGGAACATCAGTCTTTCGGTCGGTAATTTAGCACGCGAATTAAGATTGATCGCTCGCACGAAGCAGGAAGGAAGAAAGCATTAGAGCAAATGACGAAGCACCGTTCGCCCCCTGTGGATCGGCGACTATGGAAAAAAAAATGATTTGCTTACGCCTTCGTTTCCTATATATAGTACGGTAGGGTTATTTGATTCACCTAAATTCCCACACCTTAAAATTCAATCTTCAACTCTGTACAGAATAACGAAACTCGTTACATGTCATGAAACATCATTGATCTTTGGTGTAATAAGGGAAGAACGAGGAAATATCGCCTGCTTTAAGCCCAGCAAGAGAAAATATCAAAAAATATAGTAAGCTTCTGTTTAAGCTAAAATTATATAGTTTTTACATACGTTACAGAATATACGTATATTACATACATTGTATGGTATATATTCTAAAGAAAATACTCTAAAGAAGAAAATAATCTGCTAAGATAAATTAATATACACAGGCTAGGGAATTCTGATAATTACAAACGAGAATATTGACGTTAGTTCAACAAACTTTCCTTTTCACGAATAGAGGTGATATCTTCTTAGAAAACTGTGTCTACCGAGTCGTCGATGTAAGTACGCGATATACTTGACGATTTATCAGGCCGGTAAAAACGAGTCGAGTAATAATCTGTTATGAAACGTAGATGGCATAGAAATTGTTCGCAATCGGATTCGACGATTACTTAGCTCGGCTCAAATGTTCTTCCGACACAAATAACCATACTTTACGGCGCGCACCATCAATCACGATATAGTCAACAAAGAAAAGATTCGATTCGATTTCTTCGAAAACGAAGGGCCACGCGGAAAGATTGTATTGCATATTTCCGATTCATATTTTCACTTCGAATCACCTGCTTATCTATTATGCCGCGATTAACAGGACACCTTGTATATAAATATTTTTAACTCTATCGATCCGAGTTAAAAGAATCGTTTCTTAACGCGTACTCAAGCGACTGATAATACTCGAAATAGAATCTTTACCCGGTTGCTTCGCTGGTTTAATGCTGTTCACGTAACTGTGTCAGCGACGTGTATAAAAAGCTTGGCCGCGAAGCAAAGCGAGCCAGCGACGTTAATAAGCTCGACAAACGTGGCTCGACTCCCGACGTTTCCGATTATACGGAATAATATACTGCATTAAAGTCAAGTTGGTCATAGTTGACGACTTTAACACGATGCTTTTCCATCGTTGCTTCATCTCGAAAGACAGAAGCAGATGCGGCTAAATATCACGCTGTTAATCGTGCAATCGCGAGATTAAAGCGAATGACCAGAGCAGACGTACATTTGATTAAAACATCTGCAAGTGCCATCGAGTTCTCGAAAATTCCTATGCAGCGTTCCAACGTCGATCGATTATATCATTCGCGACTAATTTTGTTATCCAGCTTGATGATAATCGGTAGCGGCAAATCAAATTTCAAAGCTAATAATTTCATCGGTTTGCGATTAATCGCCCGCATAGTTCCAATCTCTTCTCCTTCAATCCCTCTTACCTTCTAGGTCATACGAGCTCCTTTCACAAATTAAATTGAACGGCACATTTTACGATGAAATTTTTCAAGAAGTTGCTGATCATACCGAATGAAGATATTTGGAGGGAGATGTCCGTGTATGCAGAAAGTATTAGAAAGATGTATACGCGCTGCGACAGAAGAAAAATATATAAAAATATAAAAATTGTAATAGTAATTGTAGAATTTCGATTATAGATATGTTCATTTTTGCTCTACCAATCTCCCTGGGCTATTAAATTGCATATCTTTTTTAATGTTAGTAATTTCGTTCGCGTATATATATATCTATATCCCTTACAATCGGATGAATTAAACGTACATACTAATTAAACGTTAATTTTAGGTGAAACTGAAAAGAAATGCGTTACTTGAACTAAATTTTGCGCTTCTGGAGAAGATAAAAAGCAGAGATTATAAGGACGATCCGAAAACGTTGCAATATCCTAGCTTGTGTCTCACAGACGAACGAATATCCACGATATTTACCGGGATAACCGATGTTTCGAATAACCGAGGTTCTACCGAGCTAAATTTATACAGACATTAAGGAACGAATGCAAATCAGCTTTGACTCCTACAATTATGATAGTTGCTCGAGGCAGTTACCATAAACGTTCAGACGCTTTTGATTATGGCTATTACTGGACGTTGCCAAGGTGTCCAGTGGGATTGCATGCCATTCCAATTTCTTCTAGAAACGCTGCCAGTCATAACATTCATTAAAGTGTGTACGTTATGTATATTGTACTATGAGTAATTAATATGTGCGTTACTTATCATCATTATAATCATGGATACTGAAAAATGAAATCGGTTCTTGTAATAAATTTTACTCATATGGTTATATAACAATCTCTTTTTAAATGTATTTGTCGAATCAGCACGCACGTGACCTTTAAATCCTGGCAGCAGATGATAAAAGTTCCTTCCTCAAAAGGATGATCCTGGCACAGAGAATACCCATCTCGATCTTCTTCGGCGAAAGAACGCTGAATCCGTATTTCAGCGGGCCAGTTTAATTTTCCGCGGATTTTACCACGCGTATTTCGCGTGGCCAGGGGAAACGTCGCTCTGCGAACGGGACACTCGATCGTTGTTATTCGAGTTACAATTACAAGTTGGCTAGTTAGAGCGGGAATTGAAGAGGAGCAGAGCGTAGGCCGGGAGCCGACGCGTCGCCAGCTGGCTTGTCGGCTTGCTGGCAGGTTGAACGATGGCCCGCAATAAAACTTGTGTCATTAAGGGAAAGTTTTAGCCTCCGCGAACGCCACGGGAACGAACCGTATCACGGGGAATCCGTAATGGGAAAATGGGGACCTTCGTCAAACGAACCAGCCCCGACCTCGAATCTTTCTTCGGGTAAAGCTTAACTCACTTGGACGCGATCAATCCATCCTTCTTCCCATCTCGTGGCTTTTCCAACCTCCTACCATCTCGATACCGCGACTTCTTCCACTTATTTTTACTCAGCCGCTCTCCCAATGTCCACCATTATACATAGAAGTAGATATATCGAACTCGTAGTCGAGTGATTCAACGTTTTCGTACGATCCTTTTACGTGGTCGGTTAAAACGCATCAGCAAATGTTTCTTGTAACAGTGGTCTCTTGTAGAAGTGTACAGAAAACAAACCCAATTTCAAGAGTTGAGACTGGTAATCGCGTAGATTGCTCCTCTTGCAATCCCAGATTACAGATCGGAATCCCAATGGATCCTTTTCGATTCTTCTCGACTAAATTCTGGAAATTAATGTTGCTGGCTTTCGCGTACTTTTTTCGATCTTTTATCTCCAATAAATTCGCCAAACTAATATTCTCGATTTTCATCGTTATCTCCTCTCCTATTTTTCGTTTGAAATAAATTCCCCAAATTAACATTCTCTTATCCTTTATCTCGAATGAATCCGCCAAATGAATATTCTTAATTTTTATTACCATTTTCCATCTCAAATAAATTGTCCAAATGAATATTCTTTTATC